ATCGAAGTGCAAATTCCACTTGATCGTCCCGTTGCTCCACTTCCGCGCTTCGGACAAAGTGGAGAGCACGAAGCGGTCGAGCGTGGCTAGATTGGCGGCAGCTGCGTCGATGATGGATTTCGCCTGGGATACTTCACGGTCGTATGCTACTTCGTTTGGGGTGCGGTTTTGCTCGGCGGCCAGCTTGTGCGTGGCCGGGTCGTTAAGGTGGCCCCAGAAGTCTGTGCCGCCGAAGATTACGTTCGCGCCTTGGAAGGCTTGCTTGAGAGAGGAGACGTCGTCGAGGTTGCCGGGGACAATGTCGACGCCTTGGGATGCCCATTTTTGTGCTGAGGGCTTGGACGGGTCGCGGGCGATGCCGCGGACTTTCCATCCGGGCTCAGCGAGGAATACACGGGCGACGGATGAGCCCTGGGGGATTTTAAATGTCTTGTCTAACGATGTTGGGGTGATGGTGGGTTTAGTTCATACTTACCTGGTTCCCTGTTACGCCGATGACAGCGATTGTCTTTGTCATGATTCCGTGCAGTTAGTCGACTCTGGATTAGTTTAGAATTCGCAGATGGATAGAGAATTGGTGAAGCCCGAGAACAAAGCAATTTATATACTCCAACGATTTGTGATCTGGTACTGTTCATGGACTATCTCGTCTCTAGCTTACATGCCAAGATGCCATCGAAGAAGAATGTAATCTCAACAAATATCTTGGCCAAACTTTGCCCGTTATGCACCGGGCATAGTCAGCCTCTCGCATCATGAGATACATGTCATCTAGCAAATAGATAGATGTTTTCTGGGTTTGTTCGTGCACTGTGACCAAAAGGGCTATCGGCATAGTAGCAGTCGGACAAACACATCCCCGCATTCCACTATGTGTAGCCAGTCACGCCATGTATTTGAAATACAATATTTTGCTGACAAAGAACAAAAGGAGATTTTACTAACCAGCTTCGATTGTTACTAAGCTACCAAAGTGCAACTGTAATACAACAAGTGCAATTGTAATACACTAAATCGAATCAGGAAAGTCTTGGCATATATCATGCATTTCTGTGTATCATGTAATGGCGGGGCAACAGGAAATTGTCTGTGTCTATGTGGAATTTCGACTGTAGAGTTCGCCCAATCCTTCTAAAATGTATCTTTCAGGTGCACTGCTAAGAGGCAAAGCAAGATGTGTTCACACTCTCATAATCATGCATACACATATACATCTGCTTAGTTCTCCTTGGCATTGTAGATTATCCACTAAGAATATTCAGACTATCAAGTCTGTTTTGGCCGACGCAGCGGATGTGCCTCAGTATTACTATGCGATCGTTAGCGCCATCATCCCCAAGACATAGTCGGAGCCAAGTACTTACAAGACGTAATCATCCAAGCTGACAAGATTCGGTTCGCTGAAAATCAAATAGAAATACTTAAGTGTCTCCGCCATCCAGAAACTCTCGCACTCATCTAGCTTAAGTGAACCCTGTCCCTTGGGCACAGTCACATCAGCAATAGCCGAATGGGCAAACTCTGCCATGGTAGCGTTCTCGATGGATTCAAACATGCGCCAGGCAGTATCTTGCAGCGTAGTGTCGCCAGTGATACGGTAGAGGATGAAAACCGACTCGATGGCTTCCGGTCTAAATGCCGGCGTTAGATGAAGTCATAAATAAAGGACAAAAGTAAAACTCCTTACCGTAGCAAAAAACGGGGATCTTCAATCCTCGAGAAACCAGGCTGAAGTCCTTCTTCCTTGATCACATCCTGAACATCGTAATGCTGTGCATGCAGAGCAGTAGAATATGTGCGTTTAACAGCGGCATGCCATCTTGAAACGTCCCAGGCGCAGTCTTCATCGTTGACGCACGGCACCAGGCTGAACGTCTCGGGCATAATTCCCGTCGGCATGGCCTCGTACGCCCAGGTACAGCCATCTACCAGTTTGCGAGCGACATCCAGGTCGTCGGTGCGATTGAAGATCTTGGCACCAAGACCAACCATGCCGCCCGCAAAACATGCCAAATGCTGACCATCGGGCTCGAGCTTGATTGAGCCTGCAGCACTAATTCGCGCGTTTCCTGGAACTAGAATGTGCTGATTGTGAGGCACCATGGCACGGAAGAACAAATACTTCTTGGCTGGCTCAATGGCCTTTTCGTACATTTTCCGGTACTGATCCGTTGCCCCCCCGAGAAGCAGGTGCTGCTTGGGCAAATACTCGTATAGAGAGTCCGTCATGCCTCCCATGGTAAAGGAGCCATGAGAATCAAACTCCTCGCGGAAAGGACTGACAAGGATAGGAAAGAGACCAGGTATCTTGGTCCGACTCTGATGTTTCTCTAGAAGATTCGCGATGCGTTGTACAGCATCGTGATATTTGAGGTCGCCTGTAATCTGCGAGAGACGGGTAAACTCTAGAGTCAGCGATCCAATCTCGGCACTGAGCGCCTGCGCATCAGCTTCTTGGTGGCCACTCAGAGCAGCGCTACTCGACGTTAGTATATAGTTTGGTTGCACATACACAAGGCACACAAAGCTTACTTTTCCCAGTCCCACCGTGTCACAGGCATCCTGTTCGGCGTGTCAAACGCGGCGTACAGCATATCGCCTAGCTCGACTGCTTTATGCAGCAGTGTCGAATGTTTCCCCTTGCTCAAATCGTAGGCGCTGAGCAGACCGCCGAGATAGCGAATGGTTGTTTCAAACACATTCAGCCGCTGGACAGCCGTAGTGGTGAAATCAATCTTCTTGACTGCATGGACTGCTTCCTCAAACTCTTCGTCTAGCCCCATGATGTACAGTGTATCCAACGCATCCACCAGGGTCGCTGCACGCTGCCCGAAGCCATTCTTGAAGCCTCCTGTTACCGGAGTCACTTCATCCTGCAACCATGCCTGCTGCTTGTAGCCCCGCCACGAATGCAAAAAGGCCTTCTTCACCGCTGCCTGCCTTTGCTTTCTCTCTGCCTTGTTGTGCTCCGTCTCGATTCCAAACTCATGTTGTATTCTCGGGATGGCAGTAGGCAAGCCTGTCGGCCACGGCGCCAGCGAGGCGACTGGATGTCGCAGCGGGACTTTCTTCCATTCTACGGGGTTTGTGATGCGATTTGAGGAGGTAAAGGTGGGCGAGGGGAGTCCGTTTCGAGCGCCTAGTTGGCGAAAGGCGAGGATGAAGAATGTCGTGGAGACGAACAGTACAATGATGCGTCGAACAATGGGGCTCATGATAGCCAGGGGAAGTCTATGGAGGGAATCTCATGTAGCAAAGGATCAAAATAGGTGTAAGATCTAAAAATAAGAGCAAAGTTAAAGTAATCAAGTGCAACGGCGGTGCCGCAATGGACCCAGATAGCGGCGGGGAAAGCCAGAAGAAGCGGGGAAAATATCAATAGATAAAAGCTCTATGAAAAAAAAATATGAAGTGGCGGCGTTCAAACGCTCAAGATACGACACAGATGCGGCCAAGATGGGATGTGAAAGACAGGAGACGCATGGCAGCTGCATGGCCAGCCCATGGTTGAGACAACAAGGCTGGAGTGCCGATTCCCGACGCGGTTGCGCGTCCCCCGACCCTGAAGCTAGCAGGGGGGGGGGGGGGGCAAGACAACCGCCCATGCGCCGATCCCCAAACTGCCGGCTCCGCCATGTCCGGCCTTTCACCAGCCGCGGTGCCTGAGATATATCCCCGACTTGCATCTTTTTTATTTCCTCCGCTTCCACGATGAAGTACAGCGGGTAAGTAAGCCAGCTAGCCACCCACCCAACTACCAATTGAATCATACTAACCACACATACATTCAAAGGCTCTACTTCATCTCCAACCCCTCCACAAGCGTCGAAGCCGCCCTCTCCACCGTAAACACCCTCACCCAAAGCATAGAGTCGAGCTTCCAAACCGCCACCCGCCAACCACCATGGTCCCTCTCCTACCGCGCATTCCGCGACGTGATTCCCCCAGGTTACCAGCCGCCCGTGGGCGCAGACGGTAAACCAGCGCCATACGCGCATTCGTACCAGCACATGCTGCACCTCTCCACCCTCGCCCCGAACAGAACATATATCTATGCGCAGCCAGCCGCGCAAACAGCTACTACGGCATCGATACCGCTGCGCCAGCAAGATGCGCACGCCTCGATGCTCAGGAACCAGTCTTCGGCGCTCTGGGCACAGCGCCATGTACTTTCCGTGCGCGACGGTACCTCCTACACCGCGGGCCTCTGCACCATCCAGCTCGGCGAACTGCGCGCCACACGCGAGGGGCCCCAGTCAGGCGCAATGCTCTCCCCCGGCATAGTTCTCTGCATCACGACCGTTGTCGGCGCAGAAGACGCAGATGAGAGTCCCGATGCACCGTACTCGTCCGTGGAGAACGGGGCGCCGTTGGATGCAGGCGAGCAGAGCGATATTGATTTCGAGTATGCGCAGGCGATTATTCGCGACTGCTGGAATCGTATCAAGGAGGGCAAGGATTTGGGTCGCTCGGAAGTTAAAGAGTTCATGATGGTGCCTAGGGCTGAGGTGAAGAGGGAGCAGCAGCGCGAGCAGGCGGTGCATATGTGGTGTGATGCATTGAGAATCCGGGGCTGAGGTTTCACGCGGCCGCCTCTTTTGTATTCTTTTTTTTGGGAGGGGGGGAAGGGGGTGTTCTTCAGACGGGATAGAGCAGCACTCAGTGTCTCGTTTTTACATCTGTCGTTATGTGAAACGTCCCACCATCACATGCTGCGTGGACTATTGCCAAGCAGCCGGTTACTCAGTAGAGATCGTCAAAGACTAACTTAGAGATACGCACATATTCTAATCAAGAAAGCATGTATGCAACGGGAGTCTATCATGACATCTCAATGCACAAATGCCCCATCCAGGTAATCTTGATGCTCTGTTTTTGAGTAAAGCCATGCTTGCTTCATGTGAAAAGGAAAGGAGTTTGCACATGTATTCAGCACTCATCACTAAACAACAATATTACACACACACACACACACACACACACACACGCATACACACTTGAGCTTTTACAAAATCCAATTGCCAACATCACTGACGAACTCCTGCCTAGACACTCATGTCGACCCTGTGCTAGTCTCATGCCCCTACACCTATTTGTCCCTAGGTATCCCTACAGGTATCTAAACTACAAACATGAACAAAAACATGTCAAGCCATGAAAAAGAAGAAGTAGAAGAAGTAGAATCAAAGAAAGAAGAAGAAAACGAAAGTGGTAAGGTCAAGTATTAAGGCAAAGAACGCGCATGTTCAAATTACAACACATAGTTGAAGAGTCAGATCCACGACAGATCAATAGAGCGACGCCCTTTCCGCCAGTACCCTAGGTTCAAAAAGATTTGCAAAAAGAAAGAAAGGAGAAGGGAGGTAAGTGGTGAGTGATAACCAACAGGTTTGACGTCGTAGATTTGAATCGGATATCGCTAATGTGAACATGACATTTGCGAGTATCCAAAATGGCCACGGGCGCTTACTGCGCACCGACCTCCTCTTCAGCCCATCCAGGCAAGCCACCATCACCTTGAATCGCAAGGCCGTAGCCACCATTGCCGCTGCCAAACCCACCAATGCCCGAACTCAGACTACCAAACGATCCTTGTTGAGGAGCTTGAGTCTGTGGCATGGAGTGGTTGAAGGGCCCTTGGGTGAAGGCGGGAAGGCTCACAGCACGGGAGTGCTGACCACGAGAGTTGAGGTTCGAGGGCGCAAGAAGACCGCCAACAGTAGTAGTTCCAGAGCCACCAGCAGATGTACCGTTGATCAGGCTAAAGCTTGAGGTACTCTGGTGAGAGCTGTGCGAGTGGTGAGGCTGGGGCGAGTTCAAGTCAGCACCATAGAAGGCAGCTTGGGGCGACTGAAACGACTGCTGCTGCTGCTGTTGCTGCTGCTGTTGTTGTTGGTTCTGCTGTTGTTGCATGTTGGCCTCTACCTGTTGCTGTTGAGCCTGTTGCTGCTGGGCCTGGAGGTACATCATCAACGGGTTGTTGTTGCTGCTCGCGTTCAGAATATTGCCTGAAGCAGGGGCTTGAACAGAGGGAAACTGTCCATTAGTACTCTGACCAGAGCCAGGAGCGCCAGAGCCAGTGGGCGAGACCGACGCACCAGCACGGTTGGGGTGCAGACCGTTGATGGGTGAAGGCGACTGGAGACCATCACTGCCGGCTTGCTGAGATTGTGATTGCTGGTTGGTCATCTGGCGGGGAGGGTTACCACATCGGTCCTTGCCGAAGTTGACCTTGAACCGCTTGTACTCCTCGCGGCCTCGGATGGCCTCGATAGCCTTGATGGCGTTGGCGATGTTGGTGAAGTTGACAAAGGCACAGCTCTTCTCGCGCAGGGTGTTGACCAACTCAATCTCGCCGTACTCGGAGAAATCTTGCCTCAGACGGTCTTCAGTCCAAGACTCGTCGAGGTTACCAACGTACACATTGCGGGAAGCACCGCCGCTGACGGCAAGGGCGATGGCAGGGGGAAGAGCGCCAGAGTGCTTGCCCCATCCAATCTTCAGACGGCGGTTGTGAATCATTAAACCTTGTAGGTTGCTGAGAGCGTAAAAGGACGCTGCAGAAGTGGGATCGATGAATGTAACGAAGCAAATGTGCTTGTCAGGAATGTACCTGATGTGGTGAAGAAGGCCGCCACGCACAACGTTGCAAATCTCTTCAATAGTGGTCTCCGGGTGGATATTACCCAAGTAGACAGTGCGGTTACCCAGGTTGTTTACACCACCAGCCGAGGTTGCTACTGCAGCCGCAGCTACGGACTGCTGAGCGAGAGCGTTGGAAATCATATCACGGTCCGCGCCGTTCAAAACGTGTGCATATCCGGGTGCAATACCCAAGTACTGAGCAGCGTTCTGCTGTTGCGTCTTGGAAACATATGCGCAGCGGTCCTTGCCATAGTATACACGCCTAGGAGCCTGCCACTTGGGCTCCTGGGGAAGCTGGGAAACAGCCTTAATGGCATTGCCGATCGACAAGAAGTGAACGAAACCAATGGCCTTTTCTCGGACAATCTTGACAGTGTCAATGGGTCCGAACTTGCTGAGATCCTCACGGAGCTCGTCCTCGGTAACATCCTCTGGCAGGTTGCCCAAGTAGACGTTACGAGAAGCGCCGGACTGCTGTACTGCCAAGGCCACAGATGTGGGTACCTGCGAAGGCTTTCCCCACCCGATCTTGATGTCCTGACCCCTGATGGAGAGCTTTTTCAAGATGGCATCAGAGTGAAAGTGCGTAGCAGAGCTACTATCCAAGAATGAGATGAAGGCACAGTTCTTGTCAGGCAGAAGCCTGACAGACTCGATCTGGCCGCTCCTGACATGACCCAAAATTTCCTCTGCAGATGTCTCTGGGGGAATGTTGCCCAAGTAGACGGTCCTGCTGGTTCCAGAGACCAAGCCAGGGGCAATTGGCATGGAGGAGCCGAGGCCACCAAGGCCCTGCGCGCCGAAACCAGAAAAGCCTCCGGTGGGAGACTGTGGGCCACCGAAAAAGCCGCTTGTAGGAGAAACCATGTTTTGGTACAGCTGGGGCGAGAGAGGCTGCTGCAGAGGGCTACCGACGTGGTTAGACTGGTGATTCTGCTGCTGCGATTGGTTCTGGCTCGCAAACTGGGCAAAATTCTGGAATTGCGGGGATGCAAAAGCAGAAGGAGAACCGGGCTGGAAGGGGCTGCCGAGAAGCAGCTGCGAAGGAAGCAGAGGAGTGAAGTTCATGTCGAAACCGGTTCCAGGAGTCTGCAAATCAGCGCCATTCTGGTTGCCCGGGGCAAGTCTGCCGGTGTTGATGGACATGTTGTTGGCCCTCTCCGGGTGCCTGTCACCGTAGCCGGGCTGGTTGGTAGCAAAGGCACCGTGGGAAAAGCCGTGATGGCCTCCATTGACCTGTCTGGGGAAACCAGTCTGGAGACGGGGGCCGCTGGGGGCGGTAGGGGCACCGTCGTGTTGCTGCATATCGAGAAGGTGCGGGGGCAGGCTGAAGCTGTCCCGCGGGTTTTGAGATAGAACCGCCGTGGTGAAGATGTATTACTGCGCCCGGGACTCGTTGGACCGGACGACGAAATATGTAGGGCAGAAGGGGAAGTTGCAACCGGTTGCAGGATGGTCGCTAGGCGTGCGAAGTATGATGCTGTATTACAACGAGTAAGAAGCGATCTGGGGAGCGAGGTTAGTCTGACAGGGCGCAGAAGCGAAAGGAGGCGAGGAGACGCACTGGGGAAGGCACAATGGCGGCGAGTGCTGTGGACCAAACCAGGCAAAGACTGGATGGGTTGCAGGAGTGCCGAGTGCACAGGCACAGGTTCGCGGCGGCGGGCGAGCGAGGCGACACGGTCGAGGTAAGGATGGAAGGCCAATGGCAGCGGCGGGGGGGGTGAAAGGCAATTAAATGCTGTGGCCGAGAGCTGGCGAAGAAGAAACCCGCGTGGCTTGTGTTGATACGTGCACCAAACGATGGGACAAGGACAAGAAGGAAGGGCAAAGAAGCGCGCCTTGTGCAAGAGCGTAAGAGCGTCGATGCGGGGGAGAAGAGGAGGTAATGAATGAAGGGATCGAAGAAGAGGGATGCGACCTGACACGGTGGGGAGGAGAGAGCAGGAAGAGGTCGGTGAGAAATGCTCACTAGCAGGGTCCATTAGGAGGCAGGCGCAAATGAGGCCGCCAAAAGCGGACGGCTAGCGCTCTGCTTATTTTAAACGCGCAGGCCCTCCACTGAATCGGACAATGCCACCCTCGACACCAGGCGCCGCCCTGCCGTGGGGTGTGTGTGCGTGTGCGTGTGCCAGTGTTTGGTGAGTGTGTCGGTGTCAATGTCAGTGCCAGTTGGCCAGTCGCCGCGGCGTGGGTGGAAATGGCTTGCGTGCCGTGGAGGAGGTGCCGGTGCTGGTGCTGCTTGACGGGGCGAGGGTACCGTGTACCGTGTCTCTTGCTCGGAGCGTTTTTGCCTCGAGCAGCTGCGGCCAGCGGGTAATTGCAGACGTGCAGCTCTGGTCCCTGACTAGACGGGCCACGCCGATACATGCTCCAAGTATGCAGCAAGTAGTAACGGTACTTGGTATGTACGTACCTACCTACTGGCTTGTTACTGTGTGCACACTCCACACTCTACATGGTGCAATGCCGCTGCATCGTGGGTGCGCGCCACGGTAATAGTACTAGAGTGCTGCTTTGCCGTGCTATGCCATGCCATGCCATGCCATGCCCTGTCCTGTCCTGCCATGCTACCTACCCACCACCGCCAGCGCCAGCGCCAGCGGGTCCAGATCAAATTGCGGCTCCAGTCTCCAGCGTAAGTACTTAGCCAAACCCCCCTCCCCCCTAGTGCCGGGGACCACGAACAGGTGTGCGAGGCAGGAAACCGCTCACGTGGAGCATTTTTGCACCCAGGGGAACAAAGACGGAGCGGAGCCTATGCCGTGTGTCAAACGTCAGACACCATTATGCGAAACTGTCAGCGCCGCCTGCCAGCCACTCTCCCCTGGCGCCCGTTCACGTTTGCATTGTTCTCGAATCCGCTTTTGCTTCTTCGCCCGTTTGCCCTCGTCGCGCCAGCCGCGGGCGTGCGTGGGTGTGGTTCCAAACAGAGGCACTTGGCCTGCTGCTGCTGTCTTGGTATGCTTGCTACTTGGGTACTGCTGGCTACTACCAAGTCCTCGCTAGGTACGTACCTTCCACGACCGGGGTTCGCCCGTAAGCGAGCACGTGACTCGGACTACGATCCTCAACTTAATCTGTGCTTTCTGCCCATTGTGCCTTCACCCGCTGTCCGTCTCGCCATGGCAGAGCTGTATCCGTCGCTTGCCCAGTGCGCCGTCGTGGCCACGGCGCTCAAGGTGCTACTGTTTCCTGCATAGTACGTCTGCCGCACCACACGCCCAACGCCTCAACCCTCTCCATGCTGACCTTTTTTCGGCAGCAAGTCGACCGACTTCGAGGTCCACCGCAATTGGCTAGCTCTAACCCACTCCCTGCCCATCAAAGAGTGGTACTATGAAGTCAGACTGCCACGTCCAATAGCATCCCTCGCCTCGCCATCAACCTCTAACCGCACAAACAGAAAACTTCGGAATGGACCCTTGACTATCCGCCCTTCTTCGCCTACTTTGAGTGGCTCTTGTCTCAAGCCGCCGCATATGCTGACGCTGGCTTGCTTAACGTGAAAGACTTGGGCTATGACAGCTGGCAGACCATCTACTTCCAGCGCACTACCGTCATCCTCACTGAACTGGTTCTGGTCTACGCTCTGCATCTGTACTGCCATCCCACCCTACGTGACACACACACCATGCTAAGTCCGTTTCAGCTATGTGAAGACGTCAAAGTCCAAAGTCACAGCCCATGCTGCTGCTCTCTCGGTTCTCTTGTCTCCGGGTCTGCTAATCATCGACCACATCCATTTCCAGTACAATGGCTTTCTCTACGGTATCCTGGTATTGTCAATGGTCCTGGCGCGCAACAGCTCTACGCTTCTGCTGTCTGGCCTTCTCTTTGCTGCCCTCCTGTGCTTCAAGCACATCTATCTGTATCTCGCCCCTGCCTATTTTGTCTATCTCCTACGTGTTTATTGTCTGGGTAATCGCTCGTCGTTTCCCTACTTCAACATTCAATTCTTCAACTGTATCAAACTAGGAGTCGGCATCATTACGGTATTCGCAGCAGCCTTTGGTCCGTTCGCAATATGGGGTCAGATGGGGCAAGTCGTCAGTCGCTTGTTCCCTTTCTCCCGCGGACTGTGTCACGCCTACTGGGCCCCAAACGTTTGGGCAATGTATTCATTTACGGACCGCGTGCTGATCTACTGTAAAAACAACCTCCTTCTCTTACTTGGCAACACTGACGCGGATAGTGGCACCACGGCTTGGACTGCATGTTGATCAGGAGGCAGTGAATAGCGTAACGCGAGGTTTAGTTGGAGACACCTCTTTTGCTGTGCTTCCCGACATAGTTCCATTGACTTGCTTCCTCCTTACGCTCGGAGCGCAGATAGTATGCACCCTGCCACTTCACAAAGACGACTCAACTAATATCTTCCAGCCTGTTCTTCTTCGACTGCTCTTCAAGCCTACCTGGGAAGCCTTCGTCGGCGCCATCACGCTCTGTGGCTACGCGTCGTTTCTCTTTGGCTGGCACGTCCACGAAAAGGCAATTCTGCTTGTCATCATTCCTTTTAGTTTGATAGCGCTCCAAGATCGCAGGTATTACGGGGCTTTCCGGCCCTTGGCTGTTGCTGGTCACGTGTCGTTGTTCCCGCTACTGTTTACTGTGGCCGAGTTCCCTGTCAAGACGGTTTACACCATTTTCTGGCTTGTCTTGTTTCTGCTTGCCTTTGACCGGCTAGCCCCAGCGTAGGCAACCCCTGATCTTTGCCCAAGTATACGCTAACCTGTTAGATCACCTAAACCTCGCATCTTTCTGCTCGATCGGTTCTCTTTGCTCTACATAACACTTTCGATACCCTTGATTGCGTATTGCTCACTCGTTCACGGCCTTGTATTTGGGTCCCGTTACGAGTTCCTACCGCTCATGTTTACGAGCTCTTACTCTGCCATTGGTGTAGTGGGCAGTTGGGTTGGCTTCTTGGTAGTATACTTTGACTTGTAAGCCGGAATCTGTATTGGCTACATTTATACTATTAACCGTACTCTTTGCCGTCCATCATCTGTGTCTGTCACCAACATTGTTCAAGTAACCTCGTCTGGGCGACATGTTAGCTCGTTTTCATTCCAACATACACTACATCAAGTCAGATAAGCCTGCAGGGAATAAGATGTTTGGAGAGTTGGCTTTCGAGAGAGGTTCACTCCGACATTCTGAGCACTCAGCAGCCTCAATTATCATACTTGGTGAGTTGGAGGAGACAAACGTAAACATCAAGAGCAAAGTAAGGTCGGGTATCCTGTCAAGCCATTTTGATACTGCGCTGTCTTTCAGAATATACAGCTCTTTGGTTGTACGTGGTTCAGCAAGGCCGTGTGGGACAAGAGGCGGGTATAAGGATGGCGTGTCCCAGCAAGTGGGTCAGCCTGCCCAAGGGTTTGCTCAAGGTGGCTCGCGTCATGGAGCATCTTCATGGCCGGCCTTCACTCTCACTTTATAATGAGAAATTCTTTGGCATGTCATAACAAATCGGCGCATGAACACTGCAGCCTGATTGTCCTCGTTTGTACGACGAGAATGAGTCCAAATACGTCGATATTGTGATGGTGGTGGGGTGCGTAGCTTCGGGGCGTAGGTGGTAGGGTGCGAAGACGGTCCTTACCGCATCTAGTATGGCACCTCGCGCCAAGGGACTATGGGCTTCTCCTACTACCTTCCACTCACTTTTGTTCCCATTGACTGCCCTCCGGCTGCTGCTGTCCACCCTCTCGCCCGCCTGACCAACAACCGCGCCCCAACCTCTCGCCGGCAGTCTCGAACCTCTCAGACGCGCTTTCGGAACTGGGAGACGCGTCTCGGAACGCTTTTCGGACCACCGAAGAGTGCGACAGCAATTTGTCGACATCGTTTTCTGACGCGTGAAAAGCATAGAGTCGCACAGTCGCTCGCGGAGGGGCCATTGCTTCCGCTTCTTTGTACATTGTACCCCGCAAAGCACAACCTACGCGCTCCGACCATCGCGACGCTTCCGAAGTTTGCGACGCGGTACACTAGAGGCCGAGAGCCCTACATGAGCTGGTGCTCACCTCAAGATGGTACATACTGGGTCGCAGTATACACACGAACATCTGCTGAGAATTGTTTAGGTTCTCTTCAAGCGCAAACCCGTCAAGCTTGAACCCCGACCCAAAAACCTCGACGATAATGCCGAAGTGCGTCACATAACTGGATTAAGCCGACGGGTATACATACTAAGACTATTGGTTAGGTGTGGCATATCGAGCAGACTGGGGAGGTTTTTGTCGACTATGAGCGCTACCTCGAGCGGTAAGAGATTCATAGAAATGACGTCAGGCACA